ACTGCAAGAAAACAAAAGAGACCTGCATAAGTGGAAAAACATACCTTGCTCATGGATAGGTAGACTCAACATTGTGGAAATGTCAATTCTAGCCAAAGGGATCTAGAGATACCAATGCAATCCTGACCCAAATTCCACCAGCATTTTTTAATGAGATGGAGAAACAAATCAACCAACTTCATATGGAAAGGGAAGAGGCCTCGAATAAGTAAAGCATTACTCAAGAAGAAGAACAAAGTGGGGGGCCTCACACTACCTGATTTTAGAACCTATTATACCGCCACGGTAGTCAAAACAGCCTGGTACTAGTATAACAACAGATACATAGACCAACGGAACAGAATTGAGAATCCAGACGTAAATTCATCCACCTATGAGCAGCTGACATTTGACAAAGGCCCAAAGTCTGTTAAATGGGGAAAAGACAGTCTCTTTAACAAAAGGTGCTGGCATAACTGGATATCCATCTGCCAAAAACTGAAACAAGACCCATACCTCACACCAGGCACAAAAACTAACTCACAGTGGATCAAAGACCTAAATATAAAATGGAAAACGATAAAGATCATGGAAGAAAAAATAGAGACAACGCTAGGAGCCCTCAACCGTGGCGTAAACACAGTACAAACCGTAAGTAACAATGCACAAGCACCAGAGGAGAGACTAGATGAATGGGAGCTCCTAAAAATCAAACACTTACGCTCATCAAAAGACTTCACCAAAAGAGTACTAATGTCAATTTCCTGGTTTTAATATTGTTCTAGGAGCCCTGGTGGCATAACGGTTAAGTGCTCGGCTGCTAACGGAAAGGTTGGCAGTTGGAATTCACCAGCCACTCCTTGGGAGACAAGACTTGGGTTCTGGCTCTGTAAAGATTCCAGCCTAGCAAACACTGTGGGGCCGTTCTGCTCTGTCACATGGGGTCACTGTGAGTCAGAATCGCCTGGAAGGTACCCAACAACAACAGGGTTGCTCTATTGTTATGCAAGATGCTGACTTGAGGGAGGCTGGGAGAGGGTGAACAGGAGCTGCCTGCACCTTCTTTGCAAGCTTTCCAAGTTCCTGTGAATCTATGATAATGTAAAAAAAAAAAAGAAAAATTAAAAACATGCTTTCAAGGCCCTTCGGAGGATATTGTGGCCCGGATCTGACCAGTGAAGTCAGGGTTGTTGGATGGAACCCAAGGCCCCCTGGACCTTTCACACCTTGCCCTCCCCCTTGCTCCAGTCCAGAGCAGTGCTGCTGGTCCCCGGGGTGCAGCACCGTTGTGACCCCAGGTGACTAGCGTGAGTCCCTGATGTCATCCTGGACCCTCTGACCAGCCCTGGGCTCCCTGCCTCAGGATTTCCTAGACTCCTCATCACCACCAAGTCCTGGTGTCTGTGGCCGGCACCAGGGAAAGCCCTCAGCGACAAGGACGTCTGGCTGATGAGTTCTGAGCAGGCGGCCGCCGCGCTCACTGCACTGCATTGCAGAAGGACCTGTGGTCGAGGGGTCCTTTTCCTTGGTGGCGCCAGGAGCTGGTAGGGCTGGAGGAGAGCCTGGCCAGCTCCCCGCTCTCTCGGCTCCCTGGCCTTGTGCACAGCCCTGCCCTTAGGCTAAGCAGAGGAACGGGGAGCCAGGTGAGGGGTCAGAGCCTCTGGCCCAATCATCCTATCCTGTTGTCAGGAAACAATTTCTCCAACACCATCCAAGCCCCGACCTGCACCCTGAAGCCCCTCTGAGCACCCTCAGCACCTGCCCAGGGCCAACGTGGGGCTACTCAGGGCCCAGCACAGGATGGGAGCCTCTGGGCAAGTTAAATGAATTCTCTGAGCCTCAGTTTCCTCATCCAGGAAATGGGATGGTGCTAGTGCTTCCTTCATGGGGTTGCTGGGAAGACAGGTTAACACGTGGGTCTGGCTGAGCAGAGGGCCTAGCACCTGCCTGACCCGAGGTCACCAGCTGGTGACTCGTATTTTAGTTCACACACCACCCGCTCACCACAGGGGGCACCACAGATAAAGCGACAACTTGTGAGAGGCAGGAGAAGAAATCAGCATTTACTGAGCTCCTGTGGAGGCGGTGAGCTTTGCAGACACCAATCTTGTTCGGTCGTCGGGGTCCAGTCAAACGGGCATCCTCATGTGCAGTTCCCAGCGGAAGACACTGGGGCTCAGAGGAGATCATGTTGGGGCCACGTGGGAGCCAGGTCTCCAGCCTGTGCCTGCCCCATCACTGAGTCTGGAACCTTCTCTCCCCTCCCTGGTTCCCTGCGTCACCTCCAACTTGGCAGAGGGAAAGCCAAGCTCTTCCCCACAGGCCTCCTTTACAGTGTAGGGGTGAGAAGGGTGGAGAGGGGGACCTCCTGCAGTGTAGGGGTGAGGAGGGTGGAGAGGGGGACCCCCTGCAGTGTAGGGGTGAAGAGGGTGGAG